GGAACGTCTGAAATACGAGGTCCGCGAAACGTTTGGCGAGAGTCCAGATTCCGCGACGTTCGTCCGGATTTAAGATCGTGAAGGCCAAGCGAATCTTTCTCTCGAAACTGAGGGGCTGCTAGTAATCACCGATTTCTCCGGTGCACGGAGAATATTCAATTTTCGTGGGGCGTGTAACTTTGAACGGATCGGCCAGCAATAGCCCAGCCTCGTTTCTAGCTCCGACCAGTTTATCTTCGTCTCAGAAGAAAGATCCCGACCGAACCGACTGATCGGGAAACTCTGCTAATTTAACGTGCAATGCCTTCCGTTTCGTTATAAAAGGTGCAATCATTCGAGCAAAGTGGGTTTTAAACGGTCGAGCGAGATTTCAGACGATTCGACTTCACTGTAAACCATCGTTCAAAGTTCAAGTATGATTTGATAAGAATTTTTAACAAATGTATGGAAATTAAGAAACTTTCAATAAATCGAAGTTTCTTAACAACAGAGCTTAACCGGTGTTGAGTGGTTAAAAACGACCAATTTTCGTAATTTTTATCACAGTATATTTTTCGAGATTTAAATGATAAATAAATGCTCGTGCATCACGGTTTTTTCCCATTTCTCTCACTTTGACATCTCTGATGAAAATTCCATGCTTTAATCACAGCTTGGTAGTTCCAATACAATTAATTCTCACTTTTTAAGTGACTTAAATCTAACCTAAACCTACAAAGAGCGCAGATGAATTCATCGCCAACACAGTCCTGGTCTTGTTAAGGATTTCGATCAGCTTCTTCAAATATTCCTCCATGTTGGAAATATATATATATATTGGCACACCTTCTTCGAATTGAAACAGCTGCCTCGCGAAATTCCGCGAAACGAAGCTAATCGGATTACGCGATAGTTCGATCTTGGCTTACGCGTTTCCACGATATGCCTCTGATGTTCCGCGAAACTCCGCTATCCGTTCACCGCCGCGGTGTCGTGAAAAATCATCTGGCATCTTCGCAAGGAATTTCAAACTGCCGTATCTTAAGAATTCTCCGTTCCAGCGTATAAACGACGTGACAACGGAAAATGGAAGATTATCCGGCCTGTCTTACGTCACGTTTGGGATCGCGAGTTTAACGACATTTTCTAAATGTTGAACAAATCGTAATTACGACTGCTAGAATATGGAGCGATTGTCAGAAACCTGTTAATCGAGCTGAAATCGACGTCAAGCAATGGAGATAGATTTCCAGTTGGCCTCTAATTCGCACAATTCTCACGGAGAATATTTTCTAAATATTCAATAATCGTAATTACAATTGCTATGATAACGGAGAGAGGGAAATGTGAAGGATAGAAAGGATAGAAATGTACTGCAAGTGTAAATATTGTCATAATAAAACGTGAGGTATAGAAGAGTGTGAGTTTGTAAATCAGCTTCCTTGACGCTGGAGTTATCACTAATAATAACAAATAGAGAGAATGATAATTAATAAATAAAATTCGTTATTAATTCTCAATTAATAATAAATAAGAAGAATTATTGTTGTTGATGAATAAAATTAATTAATAAATTAAAAAAGTGATCGTAATTATGTACGTTTACAATATCCCAACTTGTCTTACATCTATCTACGTTTTCACAGGTATGTATCTGTAATTACGTTCTCGTTATCGCTGGTAGCGATTCGATTCTTACTAGAGCGCCTGAACGTAACCTTGTTCCCGCCACTAGTAAGAAGATTACATTGGGACAAGTGACAGGGAACGAATCAAAGGTTATCGTTCTGGGGTATCGTGTAATCCCGCAAGTGAAGCGAGTCGATCCTTTGCTTAACGTTTCCCCGTCCAGCCGCAAGGAAACTGGAAAAACGGGGAAGCACTCGCTTTTACCTCGAGCTTTGTATCCATCGATTATTTGTATCTCAAACTCTTGCGCCGATCTCCCGCGCAATATTTCTTCCTTTTCTTCTTTTTTTCACCGCGGTTTCTTCCCGGGAAACGGAAAGGGAAGAATGGGAAAATATGGAGCATGGCAAATCGGAACGAAAGGCGAATTTCCATTCGAAAGCTAACGCGAGAGCGAGCAGACAACAATCCCCCTTGATGCAAGTTGTACGGCAAGATTAACCCAAATTGTCTTATGATATCGGATCGCGCTCTTGGTTACGAGTTATATAGTTTCCATTCGAATTTTAAACTTAATTAGACTAGATATTCGCAAGTCTAAATAATGTTGCAACATTCGTAAGAGAGAATCGTGGGCAAAAGAGCTGACACTGACAATTGAAACATTTCTAACAACGAAACGAATGAAACGCGCGCGATAATGCAACTAATTGGAGACGATAATTTTCATAAGGGTGCGCCCTTTTTTTTTATCAAATCGGGCGAATGCACACTCGATGCAAACGATTCGGAGCGAATTGTACAAGTGGGGAACGGTCTGCGTATTGCGTATCGTGTATCGAATCCCAGGCAAAGGTAATCGCGAAACACCACCGCGACATTAATGCAATCGATATCGAGTACGTTGCTGGCCAGCTGGACGCGAATGGTCGCGGGATACGATGATCAATTTACCGTTTAATCGGAGAGAAGTTGATACAACCTACTCGTTACGCACCAGACATTAGATAGCCTCATTATTTATTAGACGTCATCGATTTGCCTGGGAACTGTCCGGCAACTAAACTGTTCGGTGATAACGTCACGGAACAATCGCGTGATTCTTCCCTTCTTGATGATTTCAACTCGTCTCGTACGATCTAAAACCTAGTGAGCGTCTCCTCGTCGATCGTTACACGTTCATTCAAATGTGAAGGCCAACTGAATTTACGAACGTTTGCTACATTTGGCAGGACTGCACGTGTTGATGTCCTGAGAAGAGAAGAAGTTACTCGTCTCTCTTGTCCCAGCCCTTGTATTTTCTACGAAGCAATTTCTCCCTACGAGGCAGCCAGGCTAGAGCCCGTTGCATTAAGCGGATTTGCAATTTTTCACGAGCAGCCTGACGCCGTGCAGGGAAAGGCCCTGCGGCCAGTATTATGCAAATGGGCAAAGTGTAGGTATAGGACAAGCCATTAAAACGAGGCGAATGACGAATGACGCGCTACGTCGCACCTGTGCCGCGTCTTTTAGCATAACGATTCGATTCCCGAAGAGAAGAAGGTGTTCCAACGTGTTCGACGCGGCAGCCGAGTGACCCTTTTATCGACATATTAGAATCGTCGATTTATTTTATGGCTGGATTTTACAACAATTTCAATTGTTGATAATTATCGAATATTGAATATGCATGCTCGAGAAAATTCAGATTTAAAGATAATCCTATAGAAATTCATTTCAATGAATGTTAATATCATTTACACGCGTCGCGAGCTTTTTCGATCGTTCTTTCCCCCCCCCCCTCTCCCCCCTTCTTAAATTACGAATTTTTATAAATTGCCAT